TAATTAAACTCATCATTTTTTGGTGTAAACAGCGGTGAGAAATGCGAAATCGGTGATGCATTTATTTATATGCACTGTCAGTGAAAAATTTATTTCACAGATTATTTAATTTAATTATAATTAATTATGCGCTATTCAGCCACATTAAGTCAGTTAAATAAATATAAAATTGCACCTCTCGATTTGACAATTATTATATTAACTTTGGTATCTATAAAATGAGTTATTAAAATGAATTATTTTCAAATGTCAATGAAGCTGAATTAAAGACAAGCTGCTATAATAAATTACTATACGCGATAAAAAAATGAGAGGACACGCATCTGTAAAGTAATTGCGCAACGATAAATTTTTCATCGATGGTTTGCATAAACGAGCCGCTTTGTTGAGGCCATTATCATGATTATAATTATTGAAAATTGTTTGTAGAACGTTCAACAGGATATTAACAATGATGGCAATTGACTGGGAAAAATGTTCCAACACGAAATTCAGTATGTTCGCGACATACAATGCCAAACTGTCGCAGCGCTTTGCTAACATGATGGTGATTCTTTATTCGACAACTGTAATTCTTTTTAGTAGCAAGGTTCTCCTAAAATACACGGACATCAAAACTTCCAACATTTCTACACGATTGCTCATTCTAGAGATGGATCTACCATTTGATGCTAACCAAAGATTCGTGTATGAATCAGTAATACTTACTCAGTTCTTTTATTCTCTATTATGTGCCGATGCAAACTGTTTATTGAATGCCCTGCTTATAAACCTGGTGAGTGTGCTGTGTAAGAAATATTATTATTATCCTTAATATTATTATTTATTATTTCTACAGCTCATCAAAATTAATCTTGATATTTTATTAACCAATTAGCTGATATCAATTGCTTAGCCAAATATATACATGTATTTATTATTTTATATATTATTAAAAATAGTTTAAATAGAAGTTTTAATTTATACTGATTCTCGAATTTTAAAAGATTATACGCAAGATATATTTAATCTAAATAATTTGTTTCAAGTTTGAAAATATTTGATGTGTAGTCATTTGAAGTAAATATATTTAAAATAAATTACACATATAAATTATTATTCCAACTTTGATGTTTTTTTTATTTAATTCATTAAAAATCGTTTTTCGCAACAATCATTAAAAGTAATATATATATTTAGATACTGTATATTGGAGGTCAAATCGATATTCTACGCGAGAACTTGAAGGAAGTTTTTCCGAAGAATGGCAAATATATTCCGAATCATTTTGTGATAAAAAAAGTAATTAGGGAACACCAGAAAATCATTATATTTTCAAAATACATTGAAGATTTGTATTCATACATCGCTATGGTATTGTTCGTATCTGATACGCTGATTGTCTGTTGCTTGGGTTTTACAATTGTCGCGGTAAGTATTATAATTTGTTTAATTCTACGATAAAGAGAAATATACATTATAGGATTTTGCAGAATAAAAGAGCACTAATTTGTAATTATCTTATTACTCTTCCATTCTTCTTAGGACGTTTCTTAATATTCTAGTCGATTGGTCGACCTGATGCTTCAGAAAGCATAATCAGAAACTTCTTATTTTATCTCGTTATAAATATGGAAGCGTTTATCTTTTGCTTTGCTGGAGAATATTTAAGTGCTAAGGTTAGATATTGAGACAAATATATGATTTATGATAAAAGAAAAGCAAAATATTATATAACTGATTTGTAAAATTACAAGATTTGTTATTCAATAGAGCAAGAGCATCGGAGATGCTGCTTACGCTTCCTTTTGGTATATGAATCAGATTCTAAAGATAGTCGAATTATATTGTCCCTGATAATGAGATCGCAAAATCAATTAACCATTACAATTGGAAGGATAATGAATTTGTCTTTGGGACAATTTAGTACTGTAAATTTATCTCAGACACATTGTTTTACACGTAAAACTTAACGTATATTTTACATTAAAAGGTTCATTCTGTAAATTACGTAGAATACGTATATTTTATATTTTTAGTTTTTATATTCGCGTTTTAGATTTAAAAAAATCTGGAACACTCTTTACATTGTTACATATCAAAATTTGTCAAACGACAAATAAATTATTTTTTAAGTAATTTTCGAATTTAAATATTTACAATTTCTATGTATATTGATACTTTTACAATAATCAAATAATACTTTTACAGATTGTAAAGGCTTCAGCCTCCTATATATCGGTTTTACTCACAATATATTAAAAAAAAAAACTGCATTCTGTTTATAACATTAAATTTTTTATGTTAACAACTGGTAGTTTAATATCGTATGATATTGCTAGTCTAAAAAAATATGCACATAATTTAGAAATGACGGAAATCATTATAGTATTACTTACTATTTTTTTCCATATGTCACACACTTGCGTGTATGCGCTTTGGTAGTTACAATGAACCAAATTTCCAGGTAGAGAGTAATCAATAACTCGAGATGTTTATTAATTGATGTCAAATAATGCAACCTCGTGTCGCTTTCTCTCATCCCACTTGGCAACGTCAACGCGACTTTGCAAGTACTAACAATTTTTTTTTCATTTTTTTTTCTTCGAGTTCTCCATTCGTACATTATGCATTTGCTGTGCACGTGGCGTTTTGCATTTTTAAGTCTCATAATTCGTCGCTATCGTGTTACCCTGTCGAAAAAAAAGAGAGAATAAGAAAAATAAAAAATAAGGGAACAAATTCTGTAAATTTGTGTGGAAACATTTTTAAAGTTTTATAATCGTAGATCTATACTTCTATAGTTATACACTCTAAAAATTATGGATGAAAATTTTTAACACCGTGCAGTGTTTATGTAAGTCTCACCGTATGTTGATCTAAATATGAAAATTATATTTAACACCTATGAAGTTAAATCCACAATATATTATTTCATGCCTGGTTTCAAGAAAACATTTAATGAGTAATCGTTCCCGGTTAATCGTGAGCAATACGCTTTCGCGTTCTTCAGTGAGTAATATCTTGATATTTCTCATGGAATTAAGAAAATATGGCAGATCCGTATTTGATGCTTTTATAAAATCATTGATAAAAAATTTTTCTTTCTCGCAATTTTACAAAAATAACTGCTACGAGTATAGCATGTTTCTCTATAAAATTTGTATTTCGTATCTTAATTTAGCATGTGGTTCGGTATGTTGTAAACTATTTTGCATAAATTGTTCTGAAATTAATTGTCGTTATAATGTGTCAGTATATTTATTTCATATTTCTCTACCGCACAATGCGATGAGCTAATGGATTTGATGAATAATTCGAGCAGCTCTTTAATATATAGCCTGTTGCTATTTTCAAACTGATTACTTTGTGGAATTATCAATCAACAAAATTACCTTTTTAAAAAAAGGGAAAAAAAGGTGCGAAGTGTGCGTGTTCGCCTCACAATAAACCGTTACATATATATATATATATATATTATTACAGTATACAAAAAATGAAATAAAATCTTTAAATTGCGCCAATTGTGAAAGGAATATATTTTTTCTTCCCACATATATAACGTATACTTAACTTCAAAAAGTAAAAACACAAAAAACTCGGCGGTTCTTTATAGCTTATAAGTACTATACTTGTCGTTTGTCAAGAACATCATTGCTACTGGAATATAAAACTTCGCTCAGCACTCCACTCTTCGTATTCTGCTTCTAGCTTACTTATTCATGATTATCGCGCGCAACCTGTAGGTATCTGACGTGCACCAGAGCTTCTTCCAAAATTGTGCGATTTACATATTTCAGGAGAATGAATTGCGAACGCGTACACACTAGCCGCACTTACATAATGTGCGCACGGAAGAATATCTTTCAATATTGAGAAAATAAAATATCGGAATAAGAAAAACTTTTACTTTCTTCCCTCTTCCTCAAAAAAGTCTCCTCCATTCATGATACATAAAACTTTTCTTACTGTCACTGAGTGCATTTCACATATGTGAACATTTGCGTGTTTCTATCTACTGTTTCTTGAATTTTTAAAGAAAATGATGAAGCACTGAGAACTACTTCACTGTTTCACCCAAGAATTTGAGAGGTAGAAGGTCGGCCATCCGGAAATTTCTTTTTTTATCGACAATCTGCACGCAATCTGTGCACGTTGCGATCAAAATATTTAATAAGCCGTTGCTCATGGGAGGATGCCCTCCACTCTCATTCTCTTTCAAGCTCTCAGTTTGTACAGAAACACTATATCGTGCACATCGCACAATCGATAAAGTGTGTTTTGTAAAATTTCTCTTGTCGGAATCGATGCATATTGACAGTGAAGAATATTAAAAAGTAATAATAATAAAAGAATGAAAGTAAAGAATACTATTAGCTTAGCTATGGAAATTTGGCTTCGTATTTTTGGCATTTGGCCGAACACGTCGTTTGTTTTGTTCCGTAGACTGTTCTGGACTGTTTCAATTGTATTCGAACAAGTTGCTCAATTTCAATATATTGTAAGGAATTTCCGTTTAATGGAATTTTTAGACATAGTAACCATGTTAAGTGCAATAATGGCGTATATGTTATTTTTAATCAAGCTCATCATTTTTTGGTGTAAACAGCGGTGAGATGCGCAGCGGTGAGACATATAATATACGCACTATCAATGAAAAATTTTATTTTAAATATTATACGTTTAATTGTCCTAGAGTATGGTGATTAAATAAATTTAGTATTACATCTTAATTCAACAATTACTTTTTCGGTCGATGAAGTGAATTATTCGGCAAATTGCGAATGTGAACAAAGCTAGAGACAAATTGCTGTAATAAATAAATTACTAAAAAAATATAATATATATATATATATATAAATACCTAAAAATAATATAAGTGAATACGCATTTGTAAAGTCATTGCATAACGATAAATTTTTCATCGATGTTTCGCATAGTGTTCCATTGCGGCTGTTATCATGAGAGAAATTGTAACCAATAAAACTATTTGTAGAACATTCAACAATATATTAACAATGATGGCGATCGATTGGGAAAAGCGTTCTAGTACAAAATTCAGTATGTTCGCGACATCATACAATGCTAAACTATCGGAACGCTTCGCTAACGTAACAGTAATTCTTTATTCGACAGCTGTAATTCTCTATAGCACCAAGATTCTTGTAAAACATGTGGATGACGGCAATACTTCCAACGCTTCCACACGATTGCTCATTTTAGAGATGGACCTGCCATTTGACGCTAACAAAAGATTTGTATATGAGTTGGTCATAATTGTTCAATTTCTTCATTTGGTGTTATGTGCCGACGCCATCGGTTTATTAAATGCCTTGCTCATAAATCTGGTGAGTTCTGCGTAAGTAGATAGATCTCGATCCTCCGCAACTTGCGATCTTGAATAAAAAATCACTTTAGTGTTGCTGCGCTTGTCTTAATATCAAAACAATACCGTGTCTCCTAATATTGTTTTTATATACTACTATTATTCATAAAAATTAATTTTTTGATATTTTTTTATTAATCGATCAATTAATATCAATTTGTTAGTAAAATATTATATATTATCTATGTTATCAAAAATAATTTATTTGATTTATGCTGTTTTTTGAAATTTAAAATATTTTTTGTTTTACAACATTAATTAAATTTAGGCATTAAAATATATTTTTCGCAACCTGCATTTGCACGCGGTGTGTATTTAATTCTAAAAAGCATACATTTTAGATATTACATATAGGCGGTCAAATCGATATTCTTTGTGAGAGTTTAATGGGAATTTTTCCGAAGAAAGAGAAGGGCAACTTGAGTCACTTTATTGTAAAAAAGGTAATCAAGAAACATCAGAAAATCATCATCTTTACAGAGAATATCGAAAATCTGTATTCTTATATCGCAATGGTGATCTTTGTATCAGATACTTTGATTATCTGCTGCTTGGGTTATACAATTGTTGCGGTAAGTATTATAAATTTTCTACATTAGGGAGAAATATATGCTAAAAAAAACCATTGTTAAATTTGTAGAATAAAGGATCACTGTTTCGAACTTTTAATTATTCATTACTTTATTACTTTTTCGTTGCGTTAAGAACGTTTTTTTGAAATATTTCAGTCAATCGGTGGACCCGATATTTTGAAAAATATTATTAGGACCCTGTTATTTTACCTCGTTATGAATATGGAGGCGTTCATATTTTGTTTTGCTGGAGAATACTTGAGCGCTAAGGTTAGACACTGGCCTAGTTTACACCCTACGTTTAGGCCGCCACCTATACTCTACGAAAACATATTTTTGTCGAGATATTAGTCAATTAAAATGGGATATCCTGTATAAATGTTACAAAATTAATTATTTAATAGAATAAAAGCATTGGAGATGCTGCTTACGCTTCCCACTGGTATGAATCAGGTTCTAGAAACAATCGAATTATATTATTCTTCATAATGAAGTCGCAAAATCAATTAACCATTACAATTGGAAAGATAATGAATTTGTCCTTGGAACGATTTACTAGTGTAAGTTTATTTTGGATTTGCTTTACACGCTTTACAGTCTTTTAGCACAGATTTTACGTAAATGATTTTATCCACATAATTATCTGTATTGAATAAAAAGCGTGTTTCTCCTTCTTAAAATATAAGTAAAGTATTGTTATCAATTAACATGTATATAGGATATAATTAAAAAGAGACAAATTTTGTGGACAAGTTCTCTCATTACCAAAAGTAAAAAAGAACATTAATAAGTTGTTTCCAGATTTTTCTAATTTAATTTCTAATTTAATTATAATTTGTTGTTTTATATTATATAATATTAATGACTTATTTCATAAAAATAGATTTGATTCTTTTTAATTATACTTTAATTTTCAAATAGACCGAAAATCACATATAAAATTTTACTTTTAATGCACAAATAGAGAAAAGCACACGTGCTTGGCAGTCGAGTACAGAATAATCTCTATGCGTTTCGAAGATATTTGAATGTTCCAACTTGCCTTCACGCTCGACTAACCTAGCTTTATCTTATATAATTTTTTATATGTATATATTGATTAATAAGAAATAGTATTTGTGTGTTGCAATATTTCTATTATTACACATTAAAATGAATCAAATGCTAAACAAAATATTTTTTACATAAACTAAATTTAAATATTTAATTTCTACATACATTTATATTTTATAATATTGTTACAGATTATTAAAGCTGCAGCCTCCTATATATCCGTCCTACTTGCGATGTATTGAAACGGAACTACATTTTATATTTACATTGAATTTGTAATGAACGTTAACATGTTAGCGGTTACTATTTATTCATTTAAAAATTTGCACATATATATATAAATTATATATGTATATAAATTATATATATATATATATATATATAACAACAGAATTATTTACCACATTTCCTTCCATCCATTATACATTTGCACGCGTGTATACATTGGTCGAAAGTAAGAATAAATTCAAGACTATCAGACAATAGATCGATAGACACGCAATATTTATTAAATAAGGTCGAACAATACAATTCCGTGTTGCTTTCCTCTCTCGCACATAACACTGTTCGCACTTTGTGATTTCCGACAACTTTCCTTTTATTTTCCTGCAGTACTTCATTTGAACATTGTGTACTTGCTGCACGCACGGTATTTTGCATTTTTAAGTCTCATAATTTACTGCTATCATGTTATCCTGTCATGAAACAAAGAAAAAAGAAGAGAAAAGAGACTAAGGGAAAAAAGTTCTTTAAACTTTCTATTTTTTTTTTTCGTAATCGCAGATCTATAGTTATATTAAGTATCTTATATATACACAGGGTGATTCAATTTAACCGCAGGAGTCGGTACGTACATATTATTCATGAAAAAGTCAATCGAAAATATTAATAGCAAAATGTTGTGGCATCAATAGTTTTCAAACTATTGATGCGACCGACCTATTGCTTTTGAAGGCGCAAATTTCATACCATGTGGTTGGTTATTTTCAAATACTTACCATTTGAAAACTATTAATGCCACAACATTTTGTTATTAATATTTTCGATTCACTTTTTCATGAGGAATATGTACGAATATACCGACTCCTACGGTTGAACTGAATCACCCTGTATACACAGGGGTGTCATTAACCGATTAAATCACCTATCAAGAGCAGGTAGAGTAGACCGAACTGAATCGAAAAGACTTATACCATTTTGCAATTTACGCAATATCTGCCATCATTAACTTGGTGGATGTTATCCGGCAGTAGTAGTAGTTCGGCTACCTTTAAGGTCTAATATCTCGTTAAATATTGCGTAAATTGCAAAATGGTATAAGACTTTTCGACTCAGTGATCTATAATTTTGACATAATTTTGCCTAATACGGAGAGTGATAACTTTAATACATCAACTGTTTTGTTCAGGCATTTATCCTGAGGATGGAATTCCTCTTTGACAGCAATAACTCACCCTGCACAAGCTCATAATGTCATAATGATGGAGCAATTTTTTTACCTGCTGAAAAAAGCTCAATTGACGTGGTAAGCGCTTTAATCATGATATTGGTAAGGTTCAAGATTTATCGCTAAAGTTTAAAATAATTTTACATAGAATAATCATCATCAATATGCTTCGATCATAAATCTTGTTAACTGAATATAGATAAATCTTTACATTAATTTTGTAATTTAATATTTACGTTGTTTAAAGTAATTTTATGTCGATATAAAATGATTTATTGTCATAATAAAGCTATATAAAAGAAAAAGAAGTAAGTTAAATTTTTTGCTTATAATAATTTAATTATTAATTTTCAATTATTTACTTTTCCCCCAACATACATTGCTATATATATTTATTGTATTTACAATCTTTTCTTGACACTTTCATTTATCGATATCTTTGATATAATTTCTCTCTCCCTTTCTATTTTTATCTGTTTTCTTTCATTATTACTTATTCACACATATTTTTATATTTTTTTTGTCTTTTCTGCATATAGCCTGTGTTTATTTTCTCTGCTTTTCTTTTTTTATTTTTTAACGCTTACATTCCACCATCCTTCACAACTTATTGTTGCCTAAAAATATCTTAGCATCCCTGTTGTTCTTAATACCCCATTGTACCTCAGTTCTCTCATTTTTATTTTTTTTTCATACCTTTATACATCTTTGTCTTTTTTCTCCTTTGCCATTTCTAATCCTTCTTTTTTTCATAATCATGTATCACTTTTCTCGATGAAACGTTACAAATAATATTGAATATTATAATTAATTTCATCTATTTTTATTTTAATTTATCTTTTACGTCATGTAAAACAATTAACAGATTGTAAGGTTTAATTAAATTACGTCATTCTGCGTTTGTTCTATTAAAATGAAATAAGATTTTATATATTGTTTTTCAAAAATAAGTTTTTAGAATTGAATATTATAATTTAGAAATTTTTCACACACAAGTTAAAACTCATATTTGAATCCATATTTTGATGTTAATTACCGTTATATCGCCTATAACACGTACGTCAATGTGCTTGAACGTGCGCTTTCGTTGAAAACCAGAATAAACTCAGAAGAAAAATCAATAACTCGAAATATATGCAAAGTTGTGTTAAATGAAGTTGAACAAATTGAACTTATGATTTTCTCTCTTTCTTCACCCTCCCCCCCCCTCTCCGTGCTCGTTCATTATTCTCTCTGCTTCGAATCCCATCGATTTCTGTTCCGACTTTATATACTTTCTGCGCGCATAGCATCTGCATTTTAACTGCATTATTTTTTTACTGCGTTATACCAAGCGACAAACAAAGAGAGGGATGGTGAAGATTCGCCTGAGTTGTAAATTTCTTTTTCTTCTGTTTTCTTTTTTCTTGTTTTCTCATATCTTAAAGCGTGAGAACGTATAACCGTGACTACGATCGATGCTGTTGGTTTTCTTCGAATATACAATTTTCACACAAGTTGAAATTTTTTTCTTATAATCTCCGTTATAAATTTAATATTCACGTGTGCGTTTGAGTGTTGCTTATTTATGTTTGCTTGAATTTTTAAAGCAAATCGCTCACTCTTGCATCAGTCCGTAAGGTTATTGTTCAAGGGATATTCTCTCTTATTTTTTTTCTTACAAGTGTTATTAAGAGTAACAGGAAAAGCAATTGTACATATAATTTAAACGTGCAGACGCAAATATTTAATGACTATGAGGAAACCAAAATGTGTTCTTTTATTTCGCTTTCTCTTAAGATTTTCAATTCGTACCGAGACGCTAAGTTTTACACATCGTATGATTGATTAGCTTTGTACGATTTAGTAACATCAGGTTCTTCAGTAACACAAATTATATACATGTTTTTGTAAAAAAAGATGAGA